GACACAAAAATTTTCTTAGCCATGAAGTATGGAACAAGAGAACTAATACTCACTTTTTACTACTAGTTTAAGACATTAAATGTGAGTGGAGAAACTTGTGGTCGGACAATCGTAAGTCTCATATTCGTGGTCAAGTAATGATTGAACTCATCATATCTAGTCTCAATTGCTTTTTGGATCTTAGCATTCTTGTATGGATTGTAATTTGACCCTTAGTCAACAAAGTTTGAGTCTATTAGCAACATGTTTGTGGATAATATGAATAAGAAGAAGGCCCAAAAGCAAATTAGTCCATCCATAACTTTTTTTACTCCATCCATATTATTTAATTAATTACTACGTTTATCTCATGACACAATTTTAGACTCCTGTAACCAATAAACATCGATTTCATTTTTCTTATTGATTGGTTTCTTAATATCTCTAGCTGAAAGCATTTATTAACGTTAGTACAAGAAAACTTGAAACACGGGTGGGGAACACGAGCAATGATGACCAAGGGGTACCATTTACGAAATTTAGTAAGTTGAAAAGTCAATGCAATAAATGCATTACTATTTTGAGCAATATAATATAATATCATATCTATACTTATATAAAAGGAGATTCTATTTACTATATTTACTATCCAGAAAAGTCAACTGCATTAAATGTCATTACTATTTTGGTATTATAATATTTTATTTATTTAATTAATTTATTATTTGTTTTATTTTAAAAAGGTAAGTATAATAAAAATATTTTAATAATAAAAAAATCAAATACCAAATAAAAATGTACACTTTGACTTATTTGATTATATTTGGTATTTGATTATACCAAATATATTCCTATTTAGTATATACATTAAATACTTACTAAAGTATTTATTTTTTTTATTTGTCAAAGTTAAGTATAGATTTGTTTATATTATCAAATCATAAAAAAATATTAAATCCATATTGTAAAAAAAAATTAAAAAATCATATAATTTTATAACAATTCTACTACACTATTTAACAATATTTTTTTTATTGTATAATAAAATAATAATTAAATATTATATGGTGAACAACAATAAGTAAAACTGTTACTTTCTCTTATATCAAGTGATAAATTTATATGCTAAAATTAAATTTTTATTAGTATAAATGTTTTAGTGAGATAATATATTAATTATTTACAAGCTAGCCCTAACATGCTCATATTTAATGTTTTAAAAGATGTAGAAAAAACTTATAATAACTCTATTGTTTTTTAGACTTAAACGTTGATTAAAATAGGTAAAAATTCCTAATTTTTTAGACTTAAACGTTGATTAACACCATAGATTGAGAGTCTTTATTTAGTAAAATTCCTAATTGTAAGAAAAAAATTAATTTTTGCTATATTTTAGAATATCTTTAAATTCATTATAAAAAAAAAACTACAATGAAAAAGCAAGTCAGCTATATATCGATTTGTTGTACTCCTCAAATCACATTCACAATTTGGCTACAAGGAAAGAAACTCATTGATTAAAATATTATTTTGTTAGTAGTCTTATTGTACAAGAGACTTTAAGACTCCACTTGAATATTATAAAACTTTTATTGAACATTGTACAATTTTCTTGCGTATTATAAACTTTTATTGAATATTGAATCTTATAATATAATATTCTCCAAATAAATATATCTCGTGCTTCGCACGGGTCACGTACTATATATATCCCGTACATTTTTCTTTATTCATGTATATAATTATAAACCTGGATAAATAGCCTTAAAATTGTGCACCCCGTGCATCGCACGGGCTCTGAACTAGTACGACGAATAGTTGTTCGTCACTTGCTAATTATAATTAGTGGACATCCTAATCACGGTCATAATCATTTAAAAAAATACTCCCAAATTAATGAATTGATAAATGTTTAATTATTGTTAATAAAAGGTTAACGGTAAAGATTAGGGGAAAACAGTGGGTTGGGGAAGGAAAGGCGCGAGGATCAGAGCATAACAATCAAAAAGTGCACGAACCCCGTGATTAATTAAGTCTTAAACATTAGACTAATTTTAAACTAAGGCACCTAGCACTAGGTGAACAGATTTATATTGTGTCATAATTAAAATATTCCACACTTTGACTTGATTGGTCAATGTGCATTGACCAGTGTATATGCAGAGTATTGCACAATCATATTTGGTGCTTGTTTATTTTTTTTAATAGAATTTTGCATTAACCACCACCAACTGCTTTTTGAGCAACCCTCTTTGGTGATAGATCTCCGACGATCACATCAATTATCGAAATATAAAAAATTAGAAGATAAGTAAGAATAGATAAAGAAATTGTAACAAATTAAATGACGCGACGTGAAAATTAATATATTAAATCAAGTCATATTTTCTATTTATATGTTACAAATTTCAATAAATTTAATTTCTAAAGTTTAATAGTTAATTAATTAATTGATATTTTAATATTTTAATTCTCGACCAATCAAATAATTCAAGTGTCAAAACTTATTTCTTGTTTAATAAATTACATATCTTCTAAAAGATCTTGGGAGATTTAAGTAGATCTAGAAGATTTTATGTGAATCATCATAAATCAATCAAATCGTGTCCTACGATTCTTAAATTTGGTATGATTTTTTTTCATACACTTATAAATAGGGACTCTTTTCAAAGCTAAAAGAACAATTCATATTCATGTTCAAGAGCTATAACAATTATCTCGACGGGATTCAAGCGCTCTTAAAGATTCAAGTGCGTTCTTGAAGATTCGAAATAAGATTCAAGTGCGTTCAACATCAAAACTGACGTTTAATCTGGAAACAAGCTGTAAAGCCTTCGAATTACATTAGTAACTCAAAGTCGACGTCGTGAAGATCTAAGATCGACTTTGCGGTTGGGATATTACGACGTTCTTTGGAGTCGTGTTCTTGGGATATTACATTAGTAAACTCAAAGTCTTCAAGACCAAGGA